GATGTAACTGCATGCCTGCCGGGAGAGTTTTGTTCGTTTTAACCATACTGATATCATTAAATTGGCATAAGCTTCCTGTTTCTTTACTGTGTAATCTTCTGGGATAGCTCTGTCAGTCCGGGGGTTGAAGAAGTATGTGCCCTCACTGACACAGCTGTCCCAGTCAAGGCCTAGCATAAATGCGGTTATACCAGCAAAAGCATGTGTTCACCTGCACAGGAGCAAAGGGGCAATAACCCAGAGTCAGTCGCACTTTGCTGGTGTGGCTGTGTCCACCGTAGACTCTGCTGGTATACTTTACCAGCCTTCCTGTAGCAGTAAATCATCCCTAAAGTAGATATAGTCTAGATTATAGATACAGAAATAATTTGCCACCAGGTAAATGGACATGGGGCGTTACTACTTGGCCTGCTATGTCATGGCTTGGTGACATCCCAGTCCCTTGTGATTTTGCACGCAGTCGCTGGAATTGCCGGCCTAATGCTGTCTCCCTTGTTCCTCCCCTTTTATTCCTTAGACCCCTCGAGACCTGAGAAACGAGAGATCAAATGTCCAACTCCGGGTTGTGATGGCACCGGTCACGTCACAGGACTCTACCCTCACCATCGCAGCCTGTCCGGTTGCCCACACAAAGACAGGATCCCTCCAGAAAGTGAGTATGTCCACACTGTGCAACGAGGGCTACCCAGACTGATCTGCACAGGCGTCTTTCAGGGTAAAAGTTGCGCCTGTACAGAAGAGCCGTGGCAAAGTCAATGCACCCCTCAAATCCAACAGAAGCCCTACGGATGGGGAAATGAGTTATGAACTGGCCCTCTGTACATGGGTGGCTTTCACTTGAAGAGCACAGTCCAATTTCAAGCAGTGCAGGGCGCAGTTACAACCCCTTTTATTATGCATAGAGGTCTTGGCTACACTACCCTTACATTGACCAAAGCTAGGACTGCCGTTAGAGGAAAACCGTATAGAATTTAATAGAAAATAAAAGCCTTTGAACGGGTTTTGGAAGCATCCTCTGGAGAATTATACCCCTTCTATTGGACTCTGTAAGGTGGTTTGAAAATACAGCCTATAGCAAGGATCTCATTCTCTATTAACTTCCCCAGGTTTTTTTAATGTTTGATTTTTTTTCATAGTTAACATATTGGTTTCACCCCTGTACTGAATTCCATCGGGATTTTTTTTTCAGCTTGGGAAGAGGGCAAAAAGATGGAAATCTCTCTACCATGATCAGAATTTAATTTTTTGTTATAAAGCAGAAAGAGTAGCCAAACGATACCTATAATACAGTCAATGGTCTTTTTTTTTTTAACCACGCATTGCCTTAACAATCACAATACGCTCCGGAAAGATTCACGTGCTCTGCAGAAAATAGTTTTCATTATGACACTGTTTTTAAAAAGATAGATTTTATGCCTATTGGTACCAACATCCTAAATAGACTTCTCTGTGCACATAAATAAAAATTCAATATTGTGTGTTTATGATAATAGGATAACGGGGGAGGGGAAGGGAGAAAAACTCTGCCTTATCTCTAATTTCAAAGGTTGCAGACCTGCTATAAACACAAAACTGCAGGAGACAAGGAGAAAGTCTAGTTATCTTCATACAAGCTCAAATGCAAAAAAAAAAAAAAAAAAATAGCAAGCATGCTTTCTAATGGCTTGCAAAGCAAATGATTTTCTTTACTTTTAAGGTCAGCGCTGCAGGAAGCCATAATCCTGAAGATTAAAATTTTTAAAAATCAAACCAAGACTAGTCCTAAGGATAAAAGCAGAGAGATAACTCCAATCACTTAAAACTACCTGAAATGGGTAGGGAGGCCTCCGAAGGGAGGGAGGGAGCGGGGTGGGGGGGTGGATAGCAATCAGCTAGCAAGGCAGAAAGCCCAAGCTGTGTGCAGAGATGCTAATCAAGTGCTGACCTGAGCAGTGCTGGCTTGTAACGCTCTTCTATATGCAGACCAATTCTAATTACAGTGTTTCGTATTCACTGATTTCTAGGGAGCCGGTGTTGAGACTTGATTATTTGTCTTTTTTCACTCTGTTTTTATCAAGTTGTTTTTACTTCCCTCCCTTCTTCCCTTCCCCTTCTCGCTACAAAGTCTTGGCTATGCACGAGAATGTGTTAAAATGCCCAACACCAGGCTGCACAGGACAGGGTCACGTGAACAGCAATCGCAACACACACAGAAGGTACTTACTTCCCGTTCTAATCGGTAACAGCAGGGGCTAAAATGTCGTCAGGGCAAACAGCGAAAATGGCATTGGTTTTATTCTTGCATAATGAACGTCGCACGGCGAGCCGGTATCACGAAAACAGGTTAATTACAGATGGCTATAACCAAAAAAAAATTTTTTTTTTAAATCTGGAAATGGGAGAGCCCCTCAGATATCAAAGGGAGATGGGCATGAAGGCAGAGCGGTGCTTCTAGGTTTGGAACGACAACTTCATGTCAACTATTTGAGTCGGTCTAAGAAAAGATATTGGGTTAAGAACCTGGTCTGCTCATGCTCAAGGCACCGGTATTGAGTTGACTGTATTGAGTTGAGGGGGTTCATGGAGGTGTTGTTTGGGCAAGATAAAGACACGAGGCTGAGATAGGAGGCCAAACAAGGGTTAGGTTGTGTTTCGATGGCCCAGGACTCTTGTGAACAGACTTGTTGAGACGTCTTGTGAGATCAGCTCTGCTCACTTCAATCATGGGCCTCGGGGAATGAGGATTTTCCGTCCTGTAGAGCCAGCTAGAAGAGGGATCTCAGCAAACCTAATGAAGGGAGGGGTGCTGGTGCAGGTTTGGAGATCTGCAATGGTTTTTGACCTTCTCCTTGTTCTTCTACTGAGAAGTTTATCCATGAAAGTCAGCCCTGCAAAGCAAGGGACAGGAGGGTGAGGGAAGGCCACTGTCAAGCCACTTAAAACCAGGCAGGAGGATCTCCAAGAAGCCAGAAATGCATGTGCTGTTTCCTCTCAGAATATAGGTTGTGTGATGGAGTGCTGTGGTTCTCCAGATCAACCTTAAGACCGTGCTGGTCAAATCACTTGACTGTAATGGACATACAGAGAGTGACAGACTCGTAAATGTTAATTCATTTGCGGGAGCTAGGTGAGTTTTCTTAATTACTTATTCAGACGTTGTGTGGAAGTCATGAAATAAATTGAGCTGATGAATGCCTCCTGATAGGTGGGGGAAAATGAGAGAAATCTGCTTGCTTTAATTAAGGAGACCAATTTGGTCTGAAGTCTAGCAGCAGCCAGTGGCCATCAGGAGGGTGTGCTGATCTACGGTTCCCGACAGCTGCACAGAAAAAAAACCCAGTGTCTTTAAAACACAGCAACAGGTGGGAGAGAAGTTCCCATTCAGGTTCCCCACAAGTCAGCAGAGAGGTAATACGAGGAAATGCCAGTTGTGTGCCGTTTGATTGCAGCAGTGCAGCCTAGGGGTTAGGTGATTTGGAGCCGAGTTAATGGACTAGCTTTGAATCCAGTGGCTTGAATGCAAATCCTGACTTGCTGGCAATGCATCTGAGGGTCCTAGCTAGCATCGCAGAATGATCTCTGCTCCGGAGGGACCGGTGCTGGGAATGGCAGGGGTGATATAGGCCGGGCCCGAGGGTCTTGGGCCCGGTGAGGTGTTAGGGGACAATGGCAGAGTGCCTGACTGTGTGACGCCTGCTCAAGCCAGCGCGATCAGCATCTCTCCTAAACGAATGCTCACATGGCAGAAGGCAGCGGGGAGTTTTGACTGCTGAGGACCACGTGCATGTGGAGGATACAGTGTCCCTTTCAGAGGGGACAAACCCTTGCCAGAGGGTCCCCCAGATTAGGAAGGGGCAGGGAGACCGCAAACAATAGGTCAGGATGCCACCTCTACCCAACCCAGACATCCCTCAAAATTGTGACAGAGAGCATCTTTATGGAGGCCGTGTGCCTCTACACTGATGCCTTGGCCCACTGGCTCAACCCTGCCTTGGTCACAACAGCTTCGACAGGAGCTGGCCCCCCAAAGCTATGCTTGTGTGGGGGGCTCCCTGTGAGTGACTCTCTCTGCAGTAAATTGCACCCATTGACCCTGCAGCTGTAAAGGAAGGGGTCATCAAGTGTCAGCCAACTAACTGGCCGTCTACCCCAGTCCCAACCCTCTCCCATGGTGGCCCCACCCGCACATCTACCAAGAAGGGATCTTGCAGAAGTGCCTAGGGGCTTCCACAAACAAGAGAAGCCTAAGATCATTTAGCAGTGAAGATCCTTTAGCATCTTGGCCTGCCCAAACCAGGACCCCTGCTTCATCCATTTAGGAATTTGGATAGCTCAGGTGGGCAGCGGGCCCTGTAAAACCTTGCAAGGGCAGACTGGAGAGTAAGCAGACCCTCTTCTGCATCCTTTGTAGCAGCCCATACTATCTGTGCATGGTGAGGAGCACAGGGACTACTTGTCCTGCTCCTCTTCCCACCACCCCCTGGCCAGCAGGACTCCAGAAAGGATCCTGACTCCATCACCCACTCTGCAGCAGCCGTGCCATCCATCTCATGTGCCAAGAGCAGCCAAAGGGAGACTGCTTCCCCTTTCCATGCCTATCCGCCCCAGGCCCTGTTGAGGGCTGTGACTTAAAAGGCCCATATTTCGAAGCTGTGGTCACAATCTAGCCCTACCCACGCAAGGGAATCATCATCATCTCCAAAGTGCAATTCTTCCATAGAAATTGCCCATAGAGAAGTTTGGTTTAAAAGAAGAAAAGCTAGAAACAAGACTGGGTAAGGAACAAACATGTGATACGTTCATTAGGCTCTTTCCCAAAGCGCCAAAGAGCACTCCTTCCCTTGCTAGCCTTTTGCTGAACTTGGCCCAGTGGATCGAGCTGCTTTCTCCATACCCAAGTTCTGTGAATGGTGACGAACCATCATCTCGGAGCACTATCGCTCTTGGTGCCTCGAGGCTTTGCCACTTGTCAAAAGTCCAAAAAATAACTAGATGTGATTTTTTTTGTGGGCTCAGTGCAAAGCCTGGTCTGTGAAGTGGATGGAGACATTCGTGCTAGTCCCTCATACTTAGTTTCCCTTTCTTTCTCTTCTAATTATTATACAGTTTATCCGGTTGCCCTATTGCCGCTGCTGAAAAATTAGCCAAATCTCATGAAAAGCAACAAACGCAGTCTGGAGACCCCTCTAAAAACAGCTCCAATTCTGACCGGATACTCAGGTAAGCTGCATTGGAAATAAAATCATGTGCAATAGTGCTTCTTCCAAGCTCCTTTCCCCCTAATCTGTTGCCATAAAGAAAACAGTCACAACCCGTCCATGTCTGCCTGTATCTTGACACTGCTGATGCCTGTTATGACTAGCATAGGTCTCTCTAAGGTGGGGAGATATTGAATTGATGATTCCAGGGAGGGCATCCAGGACAATGAATTGCTTCTGTAGCATCAATTAATGCTGAGGCTACAGGCCAAAGGGTTTTAACAGTGCAGCAAAAGGCACTTGTGCTGATTATACTACAATGCAAACTGCCTGAGAATGAAGGCTATTATATTAGCATTGTAAGAAGGAGGGTGGGATTTTTAAAACCCCTGAAAGATCATTTCATTGCAGTTTCATCCAAGTGCACCTCCTTTTCTTCCTGGGATTTTTAGGAGTAGACTGGTTAGACTCTAATGATTTTCAAATGATTTTTCTTTCTCTCTTCCCTTTGCTTCTGTCAGACCTGCCTGGGATAAGGGCTGTCCAATACTAAGGATGTCCCTGATAAATCCTTGCTGACACAGTTTAGGTGATTCATGAGGCTACAGATGGCTTGTAATATGGTTAGTTATTTTACAAGGAGAGCACGAGGGCAAGACAGCGGTACAAACCCTTCAAAACCTTGATGTACAACAGGCTGGCAAAGCCTCAAGGTCTGATGCTTTGCAAAACTGCTGAGTGCCCAAGTCACTGGGGTTGTGAGTGCTCAGCACCTTTGGGAAAAAAAGAAAGGCCATTTAGTTTTGTTAGTTATTAAATTTGTGGGCCAGCTTGCTAGGTGCTAGGCACTTTGCAAACACACAAGAAGGACAATCCATGCTCCAAGCAGTTCGCGCTCCTAGAAATATCTAGTGCAAGGAGGTCAAGAGAAGGAGAATAATAATGGGCAATTTATATACAATATGTATGCAAGATAAATTGATCCACTACAGACAGCATAGCAGATGTAGGGCTTTCGGGGCAGGACTCTGCCCTCCTTTTAATCCCAGCAAGCAAACGTTTCATGCTCCCTATAGAGTCAAACCACAGAGGTGACTTGAGGGGAACTTTGGTCCTATGGGTTTTGGGAGGTTTTTTTCCTACTCTCCCAAAAGAAAGGAGAAACCAAGGGTGTTTTTCCTCACTCTCTCTGCTGGAAGAACACAAGCAAAGCCAGGTTTCCCAGAGTGAAACGCTGCCTTCTTATTCATGCAATTAATATCACAGTGCCCCATGCATGGATCACACCGGGAAAGAGACTCCAGGCCCCATTTTGCAAGCGCGGAGTCCAATTCGGATCTTGCCCACTGCTCATCCGAAGGGAGCGAGATCACAATGTTCCCAAGGAAGTGCTTCGCTCTATGAGAATCCCCTGATTGGCATTATCAAGGAAGGCTTCTGCTGTGTTTCTGGGGTAATATTTGCAAACTACACTCTAGGGAGGGGGGAAAAATGGCTTTGTGCTTTCATTAGGAATCACTTAATGAGATAAGAAAAGCAAAGGAAAGCCGTGCTGATCGGTGCGTGTCTGTCGTCCCCAGGCCTATGTGCTTTGTGAAGCAGCTGGAGATTCCTCAGTATGGGAGCTACCGGCCCAACATGGTTCCAGCCACCCCTCGAGCCAACCTGGCCAAGGAGCTGGAGAAGTACTCCAAGGTCACCTTCGATTATGCAAGTTTTGATGCTCAGGTTTTTGGCAAACGCATGCTTGCCCCAAAGATACAGACTAGCGAAACCTCACCTAAAGCCTTTAAATGTAAGTTGGGCCCAGCGAGGGCGTTGGTTCTGAGTGCTTTCCATGCTCTCCTCCGTACCGCTTGCCAGGGGATATGGACGGAGGCCTTTGGGAGTGTTGGTTTGGGTGGGGAGAATGGAAAGAGCATGGTCATAGGTGGCTATGCATAAAGGGCAACCTCTTTGGTTTCCCCTTTAGGATGGATGGCATCCAGGCCTGGGTGCATGCTCTTGAGAAATGTCTCTAACTAGGAGAAGTTACTCCATGGGCTCCACTTCGTTTGTAGGTCACCTCTAGGACTCTATTGTGCAACTAAATGGCTTACGTTTTCACCCTTCTTTATTGTACGTATTACCTGTTCTATCTACTTGGCTTATCTATTCTCTTCTATGCACCATGTATATTATCTATCGATCATATGCCTTCTATGCGCAATCTAATACCTTATCTACCTGCCCCTCTTATCTGTCGAGCATCTCCTATGATGGAGCAGAGCAGTTGCAAAAAAAGAGGCCCCTGACTTAGACATAGGAGCAAAATGAAATGATAAAATAAGCCCTCAGCAGATGGACTTGTAGGTGTGGGAGTTGCAGTGTGCGTGGCGGACTAAACGAAGACAGCCTGTATTATACCTGTGCTGTGACCAGCCAGAGGAGAATAATAGAGCTTGGCTGTGTCATGTCCCTACTCCATGAGCCTGCACGCATGCAAGATGAATCTATCTTTTAAAGCACAAAAAAAAAAAAAGGAAGAAAAAGAAAAAGATTTAGGAAACCAGTTTGCAGAAGTCAGCAGCCTCAAGAGGCCTTTCTCTTTGTAGCTAATCCCACTTTCAGAGTCCTGGTTAATCCTGACACAGCTGCTCTCTAAAAAGTACTCATGCTTGAAAGCATCCCGGTTGTTGCAGTACAATGGACGCTCCCTTTTATTACAGTACTAAATCTGTAAAGGATCAGACAATGAAATTGGATGGAGGCCAGAGAGCACAACTGCCACTGTCATCCTGGGTT